TGTCACAGCGAGTTGCCGGCTTACCGTTGCTGATTTAGTGATTCAAGAGCTTTCTCCAGATCAGTGGCACCCGTTGAGGCGTAGCATGATTCAAGACGACTAACTGTCCCGAGCTAGCCCGAGCCTCGAATGGCCCTAGGAAACAACAACAGTCTGTGCTATGAAGCATTTCAGTGTGGCTCAATTACTCACTTGACATTGCGAATTGTGGCAACACCTGTCCGGAGACACACCGGTGAGTCACCGCAAAGCCGCAAGGCCATAGGAACTGCATCCTTTGACTGAGTAATCATCATATCTCTTTATTGAATCATGATCGCAGAATGAGAGTTGGGACCTCTCGTGTTCTCCAAGCTTCCCGCTGAGACTAAGACTAAGTCTTGGCCACGGAGAAACATGGCGGATGATTGCCTAGGCAACTCTTAATTAGTAGCGTCCGTCGTGAACGCCACCCTCAATGTACCAACCCCCAAGAAGCTTCGATTCAAGTTCTAGCCCGGCGCCACCAATTTGTCAAGACCTCGATTTAGCTGTGATAATTCGACCAGCCAAGATCCTGACCGGGATCTAGTTCTCTCGTCCGTCCACCTCGGTTATCAAGAGACCGAGCAGCTTCTTAGCTGAAGACCTCTCAATGTTATTTGGATCCCGCCATCGTGTTCCCATCGGACACATGGGCAAAGTTGCAGTCTCCGAAAGACGGGTTTATGCCGTGAGTACTAAGATATTTGAAAGCTGGGGCCAGGGGCAGGCATGCATTAACGGCATTGATGGCGAGTTCGTCCAAGGTCCAACCATCACGTACCTTGTCGACGGGTAAATCCCTTCTGCCCCAAGCTTCCAGCCATCTCAACTCTCGCGACCAGGATTGCGGACAACGATGCAAGGGGTCGAAAGCCATTTCCACGCGCCTGGTTCTTCCGCCTTGCAGTGAAGCCTGCCAGGCGATCAAAACCCTGCGTCCGCATGGGTATCTGCAGATGCTTCGCAAGCTGTGGCTGAGCATGTCATGATGTGCATGTTCGTGACGGTTAAAAGCCCCAAACAGGAGGTTATGCAGGAGGACGTTGTACAGCACAAAACATCAACCGAATTCCAAGCATTGTGCCTCTGCAAGCTGTACCCCGCGTTTGAACCGGAGAGGGGCGACAAGGATGTGTTAAGCCGAGAAGTGTGTCTCTCGGGCCTCTCGTTTGTGGTATGAGAAAGCGAGCTGTTTTTCTGTTCGCTATGGTGCCTCACCAACGGGGTTGCAGAAACAGAACAGCAGCAGCAGCAGCAGCAGCAGCAACAAGAGCTCGTCGCGCTCAGAGTTGAACCATGCACCCTGTGCATCTCAGGGCCACAAGACTAGGGATGAAGACAAGGAAACATCCGGCCAAACCTCCAGAGTGCCAATAAAAAACAGGTCTTGACGCACTTTCTGCAGGAACTCTTCACATCCGACAGCGATGAGATCGTCTTCTCTCTCGTCGAAAGAAAACGCGCGAACTAGCGGCCCGTGCCCACAACCAACCGTCCGTCTCCGGGAGGCCAACCTCTAGCGGCAAATCCTGCCAGGGGAACGAGGAGGGGGAACGGTGTGGCTCGGTCTGCGCGCCGAGATTGCACGGCGTCGAAACATGTCAGGGCAGCCCGTGCTGCTGCTTCTGCAGGTTTAGCATCACATGCCTATTACCGGTTCCCCAAGAAGAATGTCATTGCGAATTTGTAGTGCACGGCGTATTTCCGGAGCGTAGGAGGAGAGGTCCGGTGATTTGCCTCCGGGTTTTGATGGGGCTGGGTGCCGTGTAACTGAGGAATTGTTTGCCATCTTCTGCTCATGCTGTTCTGCACATGATCAAGTCAGCTGTTCTGCTGAAAGCGATTCAAGTACGTCGTCCTATGAGTATGATGGCAGACCCCCAGTGTCTTCGTTGAGGTGCGCATCACGCTGAGATCTTCTTTTCTCCTCTCCTACATCACTCCCAGGGGGCCAAGACCGATATGCAAAGGCAAGGCTTCGTCGCCGCTGCTGACCAAGAATCATCCAGTCTCGCCTCTCGCCTCTCGAGCAGCACCTCACGCAGCGAAGCACAGTAGAGCCTATTGACGTCACGAGCTCGCCTCTTGCGAAGGACGAGGCAGATGATGCAGTACATCATGCGCACTGCCGAAGGTTTGCCAAAGTATGTAATGTATTTCTATGGTAAGCAAGCAAGCCCACGTGCAGATGCAGGCGTATGATTTCCCCGTCGATGCGCACCATCTTTCGCCTCATTATCTGTCAATCCGACGCTGGAAATCCAATTTCTGCCAGGATACCCGCCATGCGATCGCAACCAGCTTTTTCGGCGTCGTCTGTTGTTGTGGGCGATGTTGCCATTTGGGAAAGCGGTGGCCTGACCTGCTGGGAGGCCGGTGAGCCCAAGAACCGACCGATGGAGTACCCCGGATCCGACATGACGGGAATTGCGGGGCGTTCCTCCGGCCGTGTCGGAGTGAGCGGCGGGGATGTTGGCTGTTCTTCAACGGACCTGCGGGGCAAGTGTTAGCTAATCGCTCTCAAACAGTGTCTACAGTGGCGATGGACAAACCTTTGATTGAAGCCGCAGACTGCAGCTGTTGATGAGGTGGGCATGCTGAAGGCTTCATACCCTGTTCGGGTAGGGGTCGGGGGAAGCAGTGGTTCGTCTGGGCGGTGCCGGTGGCATCCAATGAGTGGACCCCGGGAACAATGGGTCTTCCGGTTCAATCCCTTCCGGCTGTCGTGCACCGAGCTGGAGGGAAGACAAGGGGGGATCAAGCACCGGGATGTCAAGGGCGTTCGCGATACTAGCTGATGAAGATGCACGATGGGCTTGAACTCCATCGTTCGCGACGATCGAGCCAAAGAGGATGGGTTGGTGTATTTAAACGTCATCAGCATCGCACCCTGACGAGAGAGGCATAGATGGACTTGCTGTTCATGGTGGGTAGAAAGCCAAACCCGAGGACTTGGAGGGAGCCTTGTGCTAAAGGTACGCCTCCTGCCATCGACAACCACCGCCAGAGTTGGCGTGGGGGGTGAACATCGTGGCTTTCTCAACAAGTGACGTGATGCCGTGTTCTAGGCCGTTGCGCCGGGCTCCATGTCAACGATCTCCGGCAAGGCAATCTTCCACTTTGAATAGCCGTAATGGGTCGCGGCCTATCCCAGACAACAAGAACTCGCTTCACGACCCCTTCAGTTGAGTCTGCGAGGCGTCGACAGCGTGGACTAAGCAGTCACCCGGCCCTACGACTCCGCGAATCTCACAGAGATCTACACCCTCCCCTGTGGTCTGGACTTTTCGATTTTGATTGTCTGGGGTAGGGAATCTGAGAATGCCATGAATGGTCTGCAGTGTTACTGCAACAGCTGACTCGGCCCCTTGCGCCCACGTCCTAATGGAGGAACCACAACGGCGTGTCTGCGGACCAAGCTCCGGTTCGCTGCAGATGAGAGACCACATCGCAGCGGGATCCGGCTTGCAATGTGTAAAAAGACCCGTCCAGGCCTTTCTCTCGTAATCGCCAAGCAACGTGCAGAATGGGAACGCTGACGTCACGGAGATCTCTCAATTAAATCCGGAGCTGTGTCCAGCAAGAGGAGGACTTCAGTGTCGCAACGAAGCAGTAAGGCAACCAAAAGGTGGTCTGAACAGGAAGGGTCCTGGAGAAAAAGGGTCCAGACTGGGGGCTGGACCCTGGGCATCAGCCCTCCCTGCGCCGCAGCGACGCGGCAGCCATTGCCTGTTGATGGTTGATCTCACTGCCTTGCGTCTTCGGGTCCGATGATTTCGTGGAGCATCCGGCTTGTTGAGAAATGACGTATGCTGCTCGATTTTCTTCAACTCAGTGTTGCTTCTCATGGCCATGAGAAAACAGATGTAGCTCCATGCTAAGCCAAAGGGGTTTGCGACGGTGATGTTGCTGCTACTGGGGCACCTGACACGATGTCTATTCCAGAAAAGGATCAGCCATCCAGTTCGTTTTTCCTACGAAGAAAGGCTTTCGAAATCGCGCACTCGAGACATCGGGGATTGACAAAATTCCCATGATCAAAAGTCGCCAATCTGCCATCCGGTTCACTTGTGGATGGACCCTGAGAAGAGCATTTGGGGGTGTGCAGGGGTGCTTAGCGGGCGCATGGCACCCCGAAATCTGCTTTCAAAATCAGGGCAGAGGGCGCCAATCCCAAGGGAATCCTGTCGGATGCCTCGCCGGCAAGCCCTGGGATCGACCGAACAGCGCAATCCAGGCCGGTCTTTAAGTCCTCGGGTTGTTCAAGATGTGCAGTCCTTTCACTTTTTGTCGTATGACTTCCCTTTCCCCTGGAGTTTTGTCCCAGCCTGTTCTGGCAAGGCAAGGCAAGGCAACTAAACGACGAGCGATGATTCTGAAGACTACCTCAGATGCAACCAGTGTCTTTCAGCTGATGACGTCACGGAAATCCTCCGCTGCCACCGGCTCTGCACTGCCCCGCACCTCTAGGAATCAAGCACGCTGTCTTGGCCACACCACTGCAGTATGCGCCCTAAGATCCAAGTGCTCATCATGTATTATCATTACTACTGTGTCGGTATCTAGGGGGTCGGGAATGCCATCAATATCGATGGTCCGCTATGGATTTTGTACTGTAGGGCAATAAGGAGAAGCTGCCTCCACTCGTCTCCTCCTCAAAGCGCGCCTGCCATCGTGGCCACCTCTTATTCGTCCAGCACTTCCCACAGGCTATTGAGGATGAACACCGAAACTGAAATCAAAATCCGTCATCTGTCCGAACACGAAGCTTGCTTCCGTGGGCATAGGCACAGGAAGGGGCACAGGCAAGTTCGCTGCAAGCAGTCGCCCTCCTGTGTGCTGTGTCGAGAGAGTCCCTCGGGGTGGTCGACTGCGGCTCGCTTCGATCGGCTCCGATATCTTTCGTCTTTTGTTCTGCGCCGTTCGTGTGGTGGAATAGACCAATTTTTCCTCCTTGTTCTTGATCCATTCACAAGCTAAGACACCGAAGCGGACCTTGCTGGGATGTTTGTGCTTGCTGAACTTGCTTTGTGTGGCGTACTGGTTGAATCTCTTACGGACCCAGGACAGCGTATCGAGAACCTTATCCCTGACAACCCATTCATCCTCGTCCACTTCCTCAAACAGGTGACGCGCGCTCTTGTACCTTCGAGGTGACCTATCATCAACAGCCTTCAATCTGCCTGTGCCTACAAAGACAGACTCGTCAGCAACTTGCCTCAGATAACCTGGTAGGCTTCCTTACTTTTGCTGGCACCCTCGCGCGGGCACGGTTGAGGGTCGTCGCAATCAGCCATGGGGATATCGAAGTCGTCATCGTCCTCCGGTCGAGGTTTCCGCAGGATCATGTAGTCAACGAAGTAGAAAGCCTCGAGATTTGGAAGGTGACGAGCCAGGAATTCGTACAGGTGAAGGGGATACGTTCTCTTACGGCTGCCAAAGTGATGTTCCCCGCATAGTCGACAGTAGTAGCCTGATGTCGCGCCTTCCCACTGAGGACAGTACTGGACGGCGACTCGACGAATGTTGGCGAGCTGGTCGCAGCTGATATTCAGAGCCAAGCGACAGCCGGCTCCCATTGACTTCAACGGAATGTATTCCAACAAAACGACATCGTCTGCGGCACCCAGAGATACCACACGGCCGTCATCAAGCTTCAGAGTTCTTGGATGGCTGGCCAGACGCTGAACCACGGACCTTGCCTCGGAGCAGGTGACAGAAAGAGTGGCCATGATTTGGTTGATGGAGACGTGGTTGGACAGGTTGGCTCGAGGCGCCGCGAATCGAGGCTTCAACGTTGCTGGTACAAGGGGGCCATGGCGTCTCTCCTGGGAAAAGTCGGGTAGAACGTCGTCATCCTCGTCTTCGCTATCCGGGGGGCCAAGGGCTACGGACCCGTGGGATACAAAAGAGCGGGCTTTCGTATCGATGCGGAGGTATTGCATTCCAGGCTCAAAGATGGCATCCTCCCAAATTTGCTGTCGAATCTCGGTGGGGAGTTTGGGAAACGGAGCGAACGAGCGGACAGAAAGCGGAATGTCGAACTTGAGAGCGAATGCCATGCTGGACGATTCCGTGACTCGATTGATCTTTTGGGTAATCAGCGAAAGACTTTATGGAGCGATACAATAATGGTGTTGGCAGACGTGGAAGATGTAGTCGGGAGCCGGGCCGGAAAGCGAACGTCAGTGATGCAGGTCTCGGCCTCGACCTCGGTGAATGACTCTGCTTTGTGGTTGCTTCGATGACTGCGTGGGAAGGAACCGCAAGGAGGTGAGCGGAAATGAAAGGAATGTAAGAGGCCAACGGCACCTTGTGAACCTCGACCCGAAGTTGTGGACGGGAAGTTGCATCTCGGTTCTGGATGAAGTCCGGCAGACTGGAATGGGAAAGCGGGAACCCGAATGAGTTGTCACTGCCCAAAGTGAATGCGAACCCGCCACGCCACGTGTGGTTTATTAGGCAGGAACAACTCAGACGGGTGGGTAAGGTCCGTACCTGCCTTGCCTTGCCTGCCTCTTCGGTGAATATGGGAAATCCCACCAAGAACCTTACTTCCTCACACGTCGCCTTTACATCGCATCGCCTGCCTCACCAATATCCCAACTCACCGACGCTCGTCATCAGCATGCAAGTTCTTGGTTGCTAATGCTGCATGCCACGACCTGCCACATTCCATAGCATAGACTGCATCGCATGGGACCGACGGGCTTCATCCGCGATAATGTTCTATTAGAAGAGAGGATAACGGAAGGATGGTATGCTGTGCGTCTCTCATGATGCAAGATTCTTAACCCAACGCACAGCAGCCCGAAAGTCGTTTCCAATGGGTTCCCGATTTCTCCTCGCCTCTTCTAACCCGCCCTTCCGGTAACCGCCCGGGAAACACAACCATAAAAGAAAGAGAACAATCAGCACCGACAACGCGATGGGCTGTAGCACCCAAACTCCTCGGCTGTTCGCAACGGCTCCGATGCCAAACGGAATGATGGCACCGCCAGCCCCGCCAAATGCTGCAGCGAACCCGATGACGCTGACATGGTTATCCCTCGGCAGTAGCTTCGCGGCCGCGACGATGGCTGCTGGGAACAGCGGGCCGAGGAAGAAACCGAGCAGCATCACGAAGATGACCGATGCGACAAAGTTTGGAACGAGCCAATACAGCAGCTGCAGGACGATAGACAGGAGGACGTACACGGCGATGGCCCGCTTCTCTCCCACGCGACCTGTGACGAAGCCCAGTATCAGTCGACCGAGCGTCAAACCGAGCCAGAACAGCACCGTGGTGATGCCGGCGAGGAACGGCTCGGCGTGCCGCACGCGCAGCATGAAGGTCACGATCCAGCCGCCCAGTGCGACTTCTATGCCCACGTATGCAAGCAGGTAGAACGCGAGAAGCCATGTAATCGGTTTACGGATCACTGCTACCGTCGACGTGTGGTTGGCGCCGTCCGTCGACGAAGGGTGTTTCTCACGGTGCACCTTGCCCGTGGCTTTCCAGAATGCAGTCGAGGTGAGGATGAAGGTGAGGGCCGTCATGGCTGTCATGACGTAGTAGAAGTTGAACCACTCCAGGTCGGCCCTTGCAACCATGGCAGAGGCGATGAGGGGACCAACGGTCGCACCGAGCCCGTACGCGCCGTGGAGGAACCCGAGTAGCTCGTTCGAGTTCTGCATGTTGCCGATCCAGGCGTTCCAGCCGCTGTCCTCGAGACCGTTGCCATATCCTGTCACCAACAGGGCGAACGGCAGGACTGGGTACGGTGGGTGTAGGGCCAGGGGGAGGAAGCCGATGGTTCGGGCTATTGGCCCGATGATCGCAATGCCTCTCTGGCCCAGTTGATGGTGGATGAAGTTGTTCGTGAGAGCGGCAATGATGTAACCGATAAATGGTGCTAGGAAAAGGAGAGAAACGACCGTATATGAAACGTCGTAGTAGCTCTCAATCTGTCACCGGATCAGCAGAGCTCAACAGCATCTTGACGGTGTGGTCAGCCCACATATGGAAGCAAGGCCTGTGATAATCGTCAGCGATGGTCTCGGATGAGCGTTTAGGAGGGAATCTTACACCGACGGCTCCATCATTCATGCCCATCACGATGAAGCTATACAAAGTGGCGACATATCGGAAGGCGTTCGTCCGAGTCCCGTTCCATTTCTCAAGTTCCGGCTCGTGTTCCTGGCTCCAGCTGGGTTGACGCTTCTCGTCCGTCTCCATGAGACTGAGCGACGAGGGGGTTCGCGATAGGTTGGGAGGGTTGATCGGGTCTAATAACCCGACGTCGGAGGAAGATATTGACTTGAGTGGCTGAGCGCGCATTTCTTGTTGAGGAGGTGTTCCTGATGAGATCAGAAGAACACATATATCCTAATATCCCATGCATTATCGACAGCAGCCGGATGCGGGGTCGCCTTTGCCGGATTGGCCTGCCGGGAGCGCAGCCGCGGCGCCCGTTCTCCCACACCATCATCAAGGTTTGCTGAGGCCGAGCACGTTAACCTTTGAACGGTGCGACAGCCCGCGTTTTCAAGCATTCTCCGCTCGTGTATTAAATTCCGAGGATGACCCAAACGAACCACGGCCGGACGTGTGGACGCCCCGGATCCGGCTCGGAGCCGACGTATGACCCCGCCGTCTGACCACCAAAAGCCTCCGAACGGCCCCCAACAGCAAGGAGGGAAAGCCTCCGAATGCGTTTTACGACGGGTTCGCGTCTTGCAACAGACGACAGTGCACAACGTTCATCACTGACCCAGAAAAGCAAAGCACCTTCTCTGTTCTTGGAAGAACAAAAGGAAGAAAAGATATGACCATCGCCCGCCATCCGAACCAAAAACGGTCAGCGTGCGAGAGGTGTCGCCGACAAAAGCTTCGATGCTCCCGCCAAGACACGGAAGAAGAAGCCCGCTGTTCGCGGTGCGCGCGACTGGGGTTCCCTTGTGTCGCCGGCCAGCAACGGCGGATCGGCCGGCCCACGCGCGCCAAAACCCAGGGAAACAATGTTTCGAATGACCGAGACCGAGGCTGCGATCGTGAGGCAGCGCAGGAGGAGGACGAAGGAGATGGAGATGGGGATGGGGATGAGGCTGCGGGTCTCCGCGGGGACAACCTGTTGTTAGCTGAAAATGCGACCGCGGAGACCACGCCGCCAGTGGCTGCGAGATTTGGAGAGGAGGTGGCCGAAGTTGGTGTCGACGTTCAAATTGACCCCCTTCTTTGCGACTTTGAATGGGATGAAACGGACTTCGCCGTTGACGTCGGCGACCACTTAACGGACCATCAAGAGACAGCTGCACGTCCGCTGTCACAGCTGGATGCGACAATACAGCACGAAGCATTCGTTAGGCTGTCCAAGGTCAACATCGACCTCCACCTGCACCTGTTCAAGGTCAATAACCACCGGCAGCATATGGATCTGTGCTCCTTCATCTACCCCGATTCCGTCCTCAGCGTTGATTCTGTCACCCTGGCTGAGCTCGCCCTCGTCATTTTCCAAGACTTCGTAACTGTTCTTTCGACTCTGGCCAAGTCAATGAAACAGGCGGCAGTTGACTTGGCCATCCTGCCAAGCCAAGACGCTGTTCCATCTCTGCCGTGGGATAACTCTGGCGGGCTGCCGACCGTTCTAGGCTGGATCGTTCCGTCGGAAAGTCTCCCATCGCCGGACATCATGAGTCCGTCAACCGCAACGTCCGCGCCCGAAGCCGTAGGTCCGCCTTTGGCTCTCGTCATCACAAGCTGCTTCGTCCAAATCATCACCCTCTTTGAGTCGATCACCCTCCACATCCACAAAAGACTCGAATCACTCGCCGTGGATCCCCTGACGCCAATTGAGGGTCTCAAATTCGGGGCCTTATGGATTGGTGATGGACATCTGCAAGGCATCATCTTCACCCAAATCATCACCAGTCTCTTGGAAAGAGCTGATCGTCTTCTCGGCCTGCGAGACCATGATACTTCGAGGGGGGGCACATCGCCGCATCAGGCAATTCTATCCAGTGAGCAGCGCGATATACTGCGTGGTCAACTCAAGGAAGTGACAGGTGACTCGCTGTTGCGGACAGAAAAGCTTAGAGACAGCCTCGAAATGATGAGAAGACGTCTCACGGAAGCATCAGCGCTAAGCACTTAGACTTCGCGCCTCATTAAATGTTGAAAATCAGTGGATCAAATCTGGCGATCAATGCGCGTCGGACCCTAGTGGAAATCACTTGAGGTCTCAACCCATGAAGCCCCACGCGTGGTACCGAAGATCATGAGGTTCCGGTGGGATATCCGACGTGTCCGGAAAGTCGGCTTCGTGGCCCTTGAAAAGGCGGGGAATGTTGACGACAGATTCGCGTCCATGGCCCCTCTTAGGAGCAGAGAGTTTAGGGGCATCATGATACCTACCGCCGTAAGACTCTGTTTTCTAACATGTGGATAGTGCGTGGAGAGCGTTGACGGACCCTAATTGGAGCGAGCAGGTTGCTGTCGAAGCATCTGGAGCCCAAGCCCTCAACCGCCCCCAACCGCCGGTTGATGAAACAAACAAACCGCAAACCCCAAACGACAGGGCCATCAAGTCCATGTCTGGAATCCCGATGCCATCGTATACTCGGCTTCATAAAAAAATTCCATCATCATCCGTTAATCAAACTCATTCGCATCGGCCGATTTACCCGCTCAATATAACTCGGCATCCCACGGAGAATACCAAGTGGGCGCACGCGGCACCCATCGTTCCGCGGCAGTTTGTTCCGTTTTAGAGTGCTCTTTTGACCTCAAACCTGCTCAGACTGGCCCCACTCCATAACATCGTCCGCCAAGTATATCAACCGACATGGGCGCCCTTCCTCAACGCAACGTCCAAAAAAACTCTGTTCGCTGCTCAGACTTATTTCATGAAACATTTTCCAACTTCAATGACTTGGAAGAGAGCTGAAAATTGCTTAAAGTCGACCGCAACCACCCACCACATCCATGCCGCCGGCATTCTAACGCCCGCCCTCACGTCAAGTTCGTCTCACAGTTTCGAGTCAGCCACCGGATCAACACCATGGAACGAACTCAACGCGATGTCGAGGCAAAACAAGGCACGGAGTGGATGGAGACAAAAGACATCGCACTCCGAAAGCAGCCAAAGAGGCAGATAACGATTACAGCATTGACAGTCACGATCACAGAGGCAAGTAAAGAAGATGTTGACTGAACAGTTGATACATTGCAAAGCTTGTTAGCACCCAGCAACAAAAAAGGTGTGATGGGCGCCTAGGAGGTCGGCTAAAAAAGGTGTGGGTGCTTGCAGCGATATATACACCGGGTATAATCTATTTACATGGTCGAGAAACGAACAAAGGCTCATTCAAAAGTTTGGATGTGTTTTCCTTCTTCTCTATCAGATCGCGAATGCGGCGATTCTCCGCTTAGTGGCGGGCGTGGAAGAGGTCACGGGCGTGACGGCGGAGCTTCTTGGCGCAGCCGGCATCAGCAGCAGCAGAAGCGGAAGCGGAAGCAGCAGCGGTAGGGACAGCAGAGGCGGTGCCGTTGGAGGGGGTGGTGGGGGTGGCAGAGCCGCCGCCAGAGCTGGAGCCGGAGCCGAACAGAGCAGGGCCGGGGATCTCGTAGCTGGTGAGGGTGGAGTAGGGGTTGAAGAGGATACCGGCGTCGGTGCTCTTGTACAGAGCAGTGCCGAGGGTGCCCTCGGGGTTGGAGGTACCAGATCCAGTGATCTCAACGTTGACGCACTGGGGGTAGTTCTGGGCACCGTTCTCAGAGCCAGCACCGTGCATGGCAATGATCTCGTGACGGAGAACGTAGTTGCCAGCGGCGAGGTCGGAAGGGATGGTGGAGGTCCAGGTGTTGTTGTTCTTGATGAGCTTGGTGGCAGCCCACTCCTGGGTGTCCAGGTCGATACCGGCCTCATCGATCTTGACCCACTTGAGGGTGGCGGGGTCGGCAGAGGTGCAGGCGCCATCGCACTTGGCGGCGTAGGTCAGGACGGGACCGATGTGAGACTCGGGCCAGGCAGACCACTGGAAGTCGACAGTGCCGCCGGCAGCGACCTTGGCGGAGGAGGCACCGGGAGCGGCGTTCTTGTGGCAGTTGATGTCGACGGTGCCGTAGGCGTCGGGGGCGATGAAGCCGTTGTCGAGGTTCTCAGCGGACCAGGCGGCGATGGAAGGGGGAGTTCCGCCGTTCTGCTTGAGGTAGTAGTAGTCGAGCTTGTAGCCCTGGACGTAGGCGCCGTCCATCTCGTAGCCGGTGACGGTACCGTGGGCAAGAGCGGAAGCGGCGAAAGCGCCAGCAAGGGCGACGGTGTTCTTGATGGAAGGCATTTTGGATGAAAGAAGGATGGGTCCTGAAAAAGGAGGTTGAAGTGGAATGAATGAGCTTGTTCGTGGATGTAAAGTGTTGCAAAAGAATGTCCCAGCTTCACACAGTGAAGAACTGACGGTTAGACGATTGGAAAAGAATGAAGGTGGTAAGAACCAAAGAGTGTGTGCGACCTTGCAATGTTGGATGCTGAACAAGAGGAAAGCAGATGTAAAAACGAGGGCGTCGTCGCTGTATTTATCCCACCGGTCATACTGAAGGGCACCCCTTTCCACAACACCTCTCTCTTCCTCTTTGCCGCTGCCAAGATAGACTCGCAGACACCGACGACTGAGCCGCGCTCACCCTGGAGCCTCTGGAGGAGAGTCTGGTGGAGATGGAAGAAACTTCATAAGACCGAAACACCAATATGCAAACCAGAGTGGTGGAATTTTGGGGGGTGGCACCCGGTCAAGGCCGGGGGACCATCGACGTCGTCGGATGTACTCCGATTTGGAAGCGTGACCGGTCTTGCAAAGATGAGATGGACTGTTCCACCCGAGCTGCGGCGTGGCGCCCAGCTCCAGCCGCCTCCATCGTCGTGGTCGATTCCGGTTGCTCAGCCGTTATGGAAATCATGGAAAGGAGGATCATTGATCTGGCCCAGGGGCTTCAGCCGGGATCGCAGCCGGGGTCCTGCGGCACAGGGAAGGTGACGGTCATGATGGAGTCGTTGGCCCTGTTGGCAGGCGGTGTTGGCAAGCGTTGTTGGCTGATGATGGCGATGCCCCTGGCAAGCGAAGACGTCTTTGCCCAGAAATGGTGCCTGGCCAGCGGCAGGGGATCCCGTAAAGGCGTCTCGAGCCCGGCTGGGCATCAGCAAAGCGTCTGAAAGAGTCGCTGATAGAGCGTCGGTCGCGTGAAGCGTGGGACGCGTGGGGATTCATGACTTGCAGACTTGCCGTTTCCAGCAGAGCACAGCTACACACCGGAATCTCAGACGTAGCGCGGGCCATGAAACAGCCCCTCATGGCGCCCTTAATAAGGCAAGGTAGATCATAAGAAGATGTGCGTGTGCATCGTGCTCCACCCAAGAGCCGCCGCCGGCCTGTGCGTGATTGATTGGAATTGAATCTTCGGAGCCAGATCCCGACGGAATATGCATATCCCCCCATGCTGTCGCTATCTCGTTAGCGCCTCGCTTTCCTTGGTCGTCAAGTTGTGGTTAATGTCGTGCCGTTATTTGGAGGTGGTGATGATGCCGGGCCTCAATTATGCATGATCCCTCTTGTCCCTACAGCCTGCCAGTCAGTCAGCGAGCGCAAAGACAGACAGAAGCGTAAGAGAATCCGAACTCATGATTAAGGTGTGGTTCCTGGCGCCATTCACCCCTGGATTATTGCTCCACATTTGCCGCCCACGTTTTTATTGAATTTTCTTCTTCCCCTTTCCATGGCGCGCCCAGCAATATGTGATCTCGTTTCGGGCATTTCCTTGCGTCGATCTCATAGTCGAGATGAACACGACAGCCGCCAGACCGATTCTTCTTCATGCGCCGAGACTTTGGCAACTGCGAATTCATCTCGTCGTCGAGAACCCGTCGTCCGAGGGCACTTTCGATGAAACGGGCCTGCATGGCCGTCTAGCAAACGGTCGCCAACAGTCAGCATTGAATCATTCACAATCAGCACCAACCAACGAACCGCCGCCGCTCGCGCTGGCCATCCTGCGGCCGTCGGGTCTCCCCCTCCTCCCGTGACACAGGAGGCCACACCTCCTGCAGCGCTGCAGACGGCGTCACGGCGCGGAATCCCTGGGACCACCTGCATTGACAGGGCTGTCGTCGCTTACACAGTCCAGCGCCGCGAATCCCAACCCCAGCATCGACCTTTCCGGGGTTAGCGTCTGTTTTGGATAGACTTCAGTCGTCGTCAAGCCTTCCTGGCAGTCACGTTTGCTGAGAACGGACAGCTCCTCGACAGTTCAGTGTGCCGAGTTGACGACGATGGCGGTGAGTGTGGTCTGAGTTGCCTGGACCATGACTTCAGGGAACATCTTTGTTCGGCTCGAGGCCGGTGTATCACGGCAGATTGAGATTGCATCACGTCCCCCTTCTGGTCGACGGCCAAACCTGTCGACATTCGACAAACCGAGAACATTCTTGGCGACAGACTTTCCGTTGCTGCCATAGCGAGGATTCATTCGGCGAAACTTATGTTATCTTCTAAAGGAATCCCTGGATAGCCTCCCAGAATGCGGCAGGGCTCTCCCACATGGGAAGGTGACCAGCATTCGGCACAATCTTCAACTCTGCGCCCTTCTCACCGATCGTGCCCTTAAATCCGTCCATCGCCTTCACGAGTGCGCCCTTGGCATCGCCATCACCGACGACCAACAGTCCGGGAACTTTGCAAGAACCGAGGGCTGGCTTGAGGTCGTAATTCCACAGCGCCTGACAGCTGTACCTGAATCCGGCCACGTCGTTGGCGGCTACCATGTCAGTCATGGCCTTAACAACACTCTCCTTTTCCATCGTCGCAGGATGGAACCAACGGCCCACCGTTTGCTGCGCCAGCTTGGCGATGCCAGCTCCACTATCCTCCTCCGCTACGGCAATGCGATCCTTCCACGCCTGGGTGTTGGCAGCGCTTGATGTGGCGTTGAAATCACAAGCGATGAACTTCTCCAGACGCTCGGGATACTTGAGGGAAAAGTTCGTCGTGGTCGCACCTCCCATTGATACACCAATGAGGGCGTGCAGCTTGGGAATACGCAGAGCATCGAGGACTGTGCGAAGGTCGGATGCAAGCAGATCCAGCGTTGCCGGCACGGGCGGGCTGGGGATGGAGTGCCTTCCACGGCTGTCATAACGCAGGATACGCAGGTCCGGACGCTTCTCTTTCAAAATCTCGACGACAGGATCCCACATGTGCAGCGACGTCAACAAGGAGTTGCAGAAAGCAACAGTAGGAGCATCGTCCGCGGGGTTGCCCTCGAGTCTGTAGGGGATAGCAAGGCTATCCTCCGCGGTGATGTAAGAGCTGATAGATCCGTCCTTGCCGGGGACGGTGTTGGTCTTGCCATCAGGTGCCGCCCAGACGGCCACCGAGTCTGATTGCTTCTTGAGGTTGTTCAGATCGCGGGGCGCGGGGCCGAAAACGTAAAAGAGTGAGTAGGTACGGCGGTTCATGCCCTTGACGTATTTGACAATCTCGCCGGCGCGTTTCGTAGCGGTGGAGGCCTTGTGCTCGGGGCCGCCGAGTCCATTCTCGCGGGCGTAGTCGTGGAGTACGAAGAAAGTGGACTTGGCACCGGCACCGTCGCCAAGGGTGGAGATCTTGAAGACTCTCGTCCTCAGCCACCCGGGGACCTTTGACAACATGTCGATGTGCTCCTCCTCGTACCACTTCTTGAACTCTTCCTCGGCAGCCTCGTCGTTGAGGTTTGTCTCGATAGCGACCAGCTCGAGACCCTCAGCCTCCTTATCGGAAAGCTCTTCAATGGGGCGGAAAGAGGGGGCCTTGCGCTCGATAACCAGGTCGAAGAAGTATCTGGTGACAGCGACCTGGCCAATGGTCTCAGCCTCGCGCGAAGATCTGTTTGCTCTGAGCGTGGTGTATGTAGGTGTCTCCAAGTGAGACATGTCGGTCACGTCGTAGCTCGCGAGGTAGGTTGGCTCCTTGCCGTCGTTGGCGCGGTACCGCAAGCCGTTGGTGAAGATTTGGGGAATACGCAGGCGAGTCGGGCCGTGCTCGTTGTTGTACCACTCGTGGAATTGCTCCTCAGCCAGGGTAGGCTTCGGCTGCATAGTAACGTAGAGCATTCCAGGGGTCGCCATTGTATCTCAATGCCTCGATTATGATTCCCGGGACTCAATTGTGGTTTGGGAAGAGAACGAAAAGTAGTGAGGCTTGGGAGAATGCTGAGAAAAATAAGCCGGAATCTTCAGCGGCGGCTTCGGTGGTGCTGCTCGGCAGTGGGCGGAGCAGATGACGAACGCGGGGTCGATTTGGGGGAGGGTCGGTAGGTTCGGGATGATGGCACGGCACCTCGCGCAGCGCAACGAGCCAGTGGCAGCAGGGATAAAGGGTTAATTTCAGCGGTGGTGAGGGGTCAACGACGCTGAACTGTCACCGTCCGTTGTGCTGTTTATCGACTTGGTTGGGGTATTCGTGTAGCAGAGGTAGCATTCGCGCGGAGGAGGGGCATTGCTACTCGGCATCGTCGAGATAAATAATCGGAGGCAGGCGGAAAAGTGTTCTGCCAGGACATCTTGGGTCTTGCGACCGCGATTGATGGTTTTTCCTGCTGGACAACTCAAGCGATGTCGGTCGCATGAAGATCTGTTGACTCAGTTCTCGATCCTAGGAATTGCGCTTAGAGCATTGCAAAAGACGAGAAAAGGGATTAATGTCCGATTTCAGTCACAATTCGACCAGTTGGAGAAGGCGAGATGGTATCCATTTCTGAGTTAGTGTCCATTGAAGAACACATTGCTGCGACTCATCATGGGTAGACGTCTTCCAGCTCGGATTGCTTTGTGCGAGAACGTCGAGTCAAGCCTGGGCAAAGATGCCTTCCTAGATCTTGAGTGAAGAAGGCGGTGTGAAGAGCTCTTTTCCGTCAGAGACTACCTGATCGGAAGGTAGGACCATCGCGACAATGGACGCTCTCTCCTGCCTCATCTTCAGCACCGGAACACCCTCCTGCTGAATTATCGACCAATGACAGCCTTTCGCTTCCGCTGGAGGCCGTCCAATCATTGACCATGAAAGCCCCCACTCCGTGGTGGAGATGTGCCTCTCAAGCCAATCAACGATAGAGTGCAGCAGCTTGCACTAATCCGAATCGGGAGCTCAAAGCAACGGAGGGGCACAATTGGAGGTTGGAGGGAGGGGCCACTCACCCGGCAGGGAGGACACAGCGAACGGAAGCTACTCCAAGTACCTTACCTTACCACGGGACGGCACCATCAAGCTCCCATCCTGCCAACTGCCCGGTGGCTCCCGTTAGTCTCGAGTGGCATCTTCATTGGCCCGCAGAAGAGCATTGTTTGCTCCTCATCCCAGCTTGTTTGCTGCTCGGGTGGTCGTTTGCCAGCTCGCGTCCGTCACCACAGAAGCAAGCGCCGTCGTTCACGCCTGGAAAGCTTCCGCTCGTCCAGCCTGCTGGCCATTTAATTGAAATCTTTTCTTACGTCCCTCTACGAGCCTCTCATGTGACTGGCTACGGGACATCACTCATAACACATAGGTCATCATCTTGTTAAGGTACCTTATCTCTTGTTCGAGGGGAACCCTTACTCAGACCAAGACTGACATCCGTCTTAGATGCAATCGCCCGTCAACATGCCGAATTGAGCCACGAGCTGTCTGCTCTGCCAATGCTTACATTCAAATTGACGGCCTCAACAACATCAGATCCTTAGGATTCCCTCATCACTGCTATTCTATCTTGTCCATTGCAGTCCGGTCGAGAGCCGCAACGCATCTATCATAATGGAGGTCTTCATGACCAACGTCCCTCAGCAGTTGACGGATCGCACCTTGGAGAAACAGCTGAAACCTTACATGAATGCCCTGGGCATCACTGCATGGACGTGTAATTCCAAACACAACAAAAACGTCGGCTGGGTAACCTTTTTAAACCAGAAGGATGGCGTCTTCTTTCTCAAACCCTATGGCAAACAGATCATCGCTGATCCAGCCACAACAGACGGCCGCGGCTTCTCGTCCAAAGCCAGAAAGGGTCCCAAGGAGAGGGCCAGGCTCTATCTCATGCACACCCCCATATTCGTCCAAGCAGGAAATAAGGCACCGGACCCCTTCATGCTCAAGAGCCTGCATCATCGTCTCCAGGAGAAAGTCAAAGATCGGGATCGACTCGATGCTCTCTCTGCTGAGGAAGCCATCGCATTTCCAGTCAGGCATTTGGCTTGTGGTCACAATTCTTTTCGAAACGGATCCAAAACCCTGGCCTTTGTTGAGCAGTATCGCCTTGATATTGGAGCTGTGGCATCATTTGGCAGAAGGATGATTATCATCAAGTTCACAAATGATTTCAAGGTTGAGATTCCGTATTCCTCTGTCTTTGAGTCAATTCATTCCTCATCCCTATGCACTTTTACCTTCATATTATCCGAGCCTCCCAAATTCTACCGCAACAAGGTCAAGCTGGAAGACCAATTTTCACAACTCACCCTTTCGAGACCGGCGCCTCAACACAAACAGTTCGTACGCTGCACCGATATACCAGATGCTCCACTGAATGCCGGTTACGCTGGCAAATGTCTAGTTTGCCAACTCAGTGTTCTCGATACTGATTTTGACCACAAAATGATGTCGCTGAAGAACAGGCAACTTTTCAGCATCGTCCACTTTCAAATTTCTTACGATGGACGCCCGGCTCATTGGACGCTTGACTATCAAAGCTCATGGGATGTTTTCTACAAGCATTTGACACATTTAGGAACAGAGACGGCCTTACCCTTTCGCATCCTCTTTCTCATGCAGTCTCTGGTCTGGAACAATTACCTGCATCCCCGGGTAGCCTATGACTTGCTTCTCAAGATTGAGATCCTCTTCAGGCAGGCAAGGAAGGCGAAACGGCCAGACCCGCTATCTGACCAGGCCCTTCAAAGCCTGCGTGATGGGCCTCGAGAATGTTTACCATTCCCCACTCACGACATACATCCGAACGTCTTGGATCCAGATGAGATTCTGAAGTTCCTCCTCGAGATGGAAAGAAGAATACAGCGGAGGGTGACTACAGGAGTACCCTGTACGGTCCGGATGTGTCCAATCACCACGCATGGGTGTTCAAAGCCATGGTGACACCCACGAGAGTCACTCTTCACGGACCCGAGATGGAGCCACTCAACCGCATTCTTCGCAAACACCGAAACCACTCAGACTACTTCATGAGAGTGCAGTTCTGTGACGAGGACGGCACCGACCTCTGGTTCAATCCAAGGGTCAATTACGAAGATGTTTTCGAGCGCTACAAGAATGTACTGAACAAAGGAATTCAGGTTGCTGGACGAATCTACCAGTTCCTCGGCTTCTCACACTCTTCTCTCCGATCACACGCAGCTTGGTTCATGGCCCCTTTCGTCGACGACAGCGGAGAAATGCAGCTCTACAGACACATCATCAAGTCCCTCGGTGATTTCGAACACATTCAAATTCCGGCCAAGTGCGCCGCTAGGATTGGGCAGACCTTTTCTGAGACACCTGCCTTCATCTCTCTCACTGATAGCGACATCAGCGCCTGGAATATTCCCGACATTAAGTCTTCCATTGGGGGCGACGACCGCGTCTTCAGCGACGGGGTGGGCACCATTTCCAGGGAAGCCCTCGAACTGATCTGGCCCCGTCTGCCGAGGGGCTCTCTCATCCCTACCTGCCTTCAAATTCGGTGGGGAGGCGTAAAAGGGATGCTATCGCTTGATACGCGTCTTCCAGGCCGTGTCATGTGTATCAGGAGAGAGTCCATGGAGAAATTTCCAAGTCAGGACACCGAGAACCTCGAGATTTGCGGCGGAGCATCCAAGCCACTGAAGCTAGTCCTCAATCGTCAGATGATTAAGATCTTGGAAGACTTGGGAGTGCGCAACGACTTCTTCCTTCGGTTACAAAAGACAGAACTAGATCGACTTCGAGCTGTCACGGCGGACGCCTACAACACCGGAACTTTCTTGCATATGCAAGGCATCGGACTAAACTGCTTCCTACCATCCTTTATCAAGAGTCTTGATAAATACGGCATCGATTATCGACGAGATGACTTCCTGCGGACAGTAGTCCAGAATGTCGTGCTTCAAGAACTGCGGTTACTCAAACACAAAGCCAGAATCCCTGTCCCAAAAGGCGTGACTGTCTTCGGAGGCATGGATGAGACCGGTTTCTTGAGAGAAGGGGAGGTGTACATCGCTTACGATACATACCGACGACCTGGCAGGACTTCCATTGATGGATCGTTGAGAGACGGTCCTGTACTCGTCACAAGATCTCCAGCTTTGCATCCCGGCGACATCCAGCTGGTCAAGATGCGGACGCCGCCCGCAGGGCACCCGCTACGAAACTTGCGCAATTGCATAGCTTTCAGTCAGTTCGGCAGGCGAGACTTGCCCAGCCAATTGAGTGGTGGCGATCTAGATGGAGACCTTTACAACATTATCTGGGATCGAGACGCCATGCCAAAGGTCACATACAAAGCTGCCGACTACCCGCGAGTGACTCCGGCGGCTCTCGGCAAGACGGTGGAGAGAAAAGACATGGCCAACTGTTTTGTCGATTTCATGCAGTCAGACTGTTTGGGCCTGATCGCGACGAGACATCTGGTCGTGTCTGATCAAGATCCAAATGGCACGCTAGGCAACGACTGCTTGACGCTCGCTGGGCTGCACTCGACAGCCGTCGACTTTTCCAAGACCGGTATTCCCGTCGACACGAAAGAGATCCCCAAGGCTCCCAGATTCCGCCCCGACTTGTAAGTAAGAGCTGCTTGCCGATTCTGACCATTGCTGACAGAGACCTAGTCTGGCGCCTGCTCCACCCGCACATATTTTTGACCGAAACGAGATCGAGTTCATCGGTAAGAATGAAACCCTGGAAGAGGACGACGAAGACATGCTGCCGCCGCATCAATACTACAAGTCAGAGAAGATCCTTGGCATTCTCTACCGCAACGTCGATGAGAAGCATATCTGGACCGAGGATATCCAGCGAGTTGTGACCAGAGCTGGTCCTTCGGTCTGGGATCAGTTTGTCGGGCTGATTGAACGAAAAATATACGATTATACTGGTGGAAGAGTAACGTGGAGAATAAGGCAAGCCGAGGCCAAGAGGCTTCGTGATGTGTATGCACCCCGATCAAATCTCCCTCAGAGCTTGCTGACAGAGTCCTCCAAGATACGAAGATACCGTTATACAGGCTATGAGCACGTACTCGGACAATCACGTGAAACGAATGACTGAGATTGAGGTCTTTTGCGGGTCCATCTTCAACAAGGCTGGTGCCCAAACGAGGCGCCAGAAAGACAACTCCAAAAAGCTCAAGGCCGAGTTCGACCGTCTCTCGGAGTGGCTCGTGGGTCAAATGCGACGCAAGCTCCGGACCGTGGATCAGGAAGCCTCCTCGATCTACAACAGCAGCAGTAGCAACCAGTACTCCTTTCTGTCGGACGATCCCGTCACGCGCATGCTCGCGCCAAACAGGGAGGCTTTGGAGATGTCATATTCCTGCCTGATGGTGGGCCTGATGCCCAACGAGGGTTTCGAGCTCGAGGACGGGAAGCAACTGCAGAGCTTCAAGGTGATCGCGGCAAGTGTTCTGCTCAAGGAGCTTACGGAGCTGGTCAACCGTATAAGAGGAGGAAGAATGGTTGTCCCAGGCAATGGCTATGAGGGTGTGGGCGGCGGATTTGTTGGAGTCAGCTCCGGGCCGGCGATGTCGTACGCTTACAACGGGTTCGATGTGGATGTTGGACAATATCCCAATTACGGATATAGCGAGTATCTTTGAATTAGGAAAAGTGCTTATCTTTCTGGCACTCCTCGGGGGCACGCACATTCGACCTTTGTCATAATTCAATTTGAGCCAATTTCAGCGACCTTTTGGTCTGCCAAACGACGGATCGCAGTGGTGCGATGTCTTGCCACCAATTGTAGCGGGAATGAATGTCTGTCTTTCTTGGCCAGCGCACTGCCCGCTTATGGATATGGCTTCTTCGATGGCGTTGCAAGACAAACTTCAGAAGGAGGCATTGAATAGCTGAAGTCGCCAAACTAGGCAATATGGCACACACTGGGTGAGATTGCAAGCCTCATAGCGTCTCAGGTTCGTGGGCGGCGGTGTGCCTCGCTCCGGGTGGACTTGCTAGGCTTTCGAGGTAATTAAGCCACCACGGATATGGCCACTTTCCAATGACTAGAAACTTGTAAAAGCACCAAACGCCATGGGTGATGAATTTGGGCGGTATTAATCTATCTTCCCTTTCCCCAGACTCCAAAAGAGACCTGAGAGGCTATTTTTCACTCAACTGCTCTGCATAACACACGCCCACAGCTATAACATCGCTGAACATGGTACGTTCTCTGCCCTAAAATGTCTCTTTGGTCTCTAATCATGAATACCGCTTCCAGAAACTTGTGAACTTGATCTTCTCTATTGCCATCACAGTCATGGGTGCTAGAGCAGCCTCCATTCGTGATGGTTCTCTGGCAAAAGATGCTTTGTCATACCATGAAGACTTGGAGGAACAAGGCTACAAAGGGGACACTTCTTCCTCGGAAAGAAGAGGAAATAACTTCGAAATTGTCACTAGACAAGACCCTATCCCCTTGAACGAATGGGTTTGCGGCAGACTCACTGGGGGCGGGGGCCCCGTCATCCTCCGACAGATCGTCGACGCTTTCAAGTACCAGTTTGGAACTCAGACACTTGTTCTGCAGAAGTCCACCTGCTACTCTTCGACCTGCTGCGGTAGTTTCTTCACTGTGTGTAATGAGGGTGGCTCCAGGGTATGTTTGGAGTTTCACGTTCTGTTCAAACCCTCTTATGCCGGCTCTGGAGATTGACGAATATTATGATTCTAGATATCAGTGAACGGAGACTCTCTCTATCTTGTCTCAATCTTGCGGCTAACGCAAATCCCGGAAATGGAAGCATGTGCATGTATCTGCCGATACATAAGAAATCTCGCTACTACTTTGGGCGTGGGGCCCCAAGGGGCAATATAGAGAGCCCAGTAGTCATAAGGCATTGCTAAGCGATCATAATTATTGGCCCATTAGTTGGAAATATGAGTAGAGTGATACTTAGGTTTTCGAGTTTTGAATAGTGTCGTTTTACAATTAACAAAGATGTGCATTCTCTCACTATATAGGAAATTCATATGAGATGGCCCAGACGGGGTCGGACTTGGTCTCTTCATGACCAATGGCTGATGCAATCAGACCGTTCAATAGGGCCCCGATGAAAAGCGTAAGACATTTGGCGAAAGCCTCCGACTGCTTGTCGAAGGATCGTGTCGTAAGCCCGTCAGCAACCTGATCATCAAGAAGCCTCCGATCATCGTGGTCGCGGAATCAAAACTCTCCTGCTAACATGGCTACCATGCTAAATACTCAGGGATACTAGAGGTGAAAGATTCGCTGCTGTCTCTTGCAACGACAGAACATATCTTGTTCGAAAGCTCAGTTTAAACTATTTTAAGCTCACGAGGTTCAGAACCACTGACGAAGCTTACAGCAGCTGACACAGAGAACCACATCCACAAAACGATCAGCACGCCCATCAACATGGCAGCGCCTCACATCGAAGAGAAATCCGGTGACACCCCCGAGGTAGCTGGGTTAAATGCATCAGATTCATACAAGAAAGACTACCGTTTCTGGGCCATCTTGTTTGCGCTGTGCATCACCTCCCTTCTCGCATCGCTGGAGAATACAGTCATTGTCACCTCGCTGCCCACAGTTGTCGAAAAGCTCAACTTTGGAAGCAGCTACGTTTGGGTCGCCAACATATTCTTCCTCACGAGGTAAACCTTTCCAGTCGTACTCATGCCAACACATCTCTAATCTCCTGAGACGTAGCGCAGCAGTACAACCGCTTTTCGGCCAACTTTCGAACCTCTTTGGTCGCAGATATCTCACCATTGCCATCGTAGCTCTTTTCACCTTAGGAAGCGGCATTTGTGGCGGTGCAAATGGCCCTGCGATGCTCATCGCTGGCCGAGCGATTCAGGGAGCCGGAAGTGGGGGCATCAACATGATTGTTGACATAATCATTTCAGATCTTGTGCCGCTTAGAGACAGAGGAAATTATGTTGCAATCATCCTGGTCACTTACGGGATTGGAACCGCGATAGGCCCCTTCGTGGGCGGAATCATTGTGCAGAAGACGTCTTGGAGATGGGTTAGATTTCCCCTGGTCTTTCTCTGGCAGATGCTGACTCACGCAGGTATTCTACATCAACCTGCCTGTTGGCGGTTTCTCCTTGGTCCTCCTTTACCTTTTCCTCCACGTGAAGTGGGACAGGACCTCTACAACTGGGAACAAACTGCGCCGAATCGACGTGATTGGCAACGCCATTCTGATAACATCGACAGTGTCCGTTCTCATTGCTCTTACTTGGGCAGGCGCCGTACATCCCTGGTCTTCCTACAAGGTCATCGTCCCCCTGATTCTCGGTCTATTGGGTCTCGCTGGCTTCTGCGTCGTCGAAGGATGCGGAATAGTCCCAGAGCCAGTGATGCCTCTCCGCCTGTTCGCCAACCGCACCTCAGCTGTGGTCTATGCCACGACCTTTCTCAACTCGGCAATGGTATACTGGGCATTCTTCTTTCTCCCTCTCTACTTCCAAGCCGTGAAGCTATCAACTCCTGCACGGTCCGGCGTGCAGCTACTACCGGTTTGCCTTATTGCCATTCCAGGGGCTGCTGTATCTGCGGTGGTACTCAGCCGCTGGGGAAGATATAAAGCCCTCCACATCTCTGGCTTTGCGCTCCTTGCAGTCGGCTTCGGCGTTTGGACCCTGCTAGACCGACACAGCGACACAGCGGCATGGGTGTTGGTCCAAGTTGTACCAGCGCTGGGGTCAGGGATGCTCCTCAACACGCTACTGCCGGCATTTCAGGCTAGCTTAGAAGAGAAGGACCAGGCGGCAGCAACAGCGAGCTGGTCGTTTATCCGGAGCTTTGGTCAGATCTGGGGTGTAGCTATTCCAGCTGCCATCTTCAACACCTACACCGCCAAGTTTGCTGAGATTGTTGATGACGCTGGGGCGAGGGATGTGCTGAGACATGGAGATGCTTATGCGAGCGCGACGAAGGTGTTCGTTGAGAGTTTCTCTACACCCGTCAGAGATCAGATTATTGAGGTTTTCACTGAAGCTTTGAGGAAGGTCTTTTTTATTGCGCTTTCGTTTGCGGGGCTCGCCTTCTTGCTGAGCTTTCTTGAACGAGAAGTCAAGTTGAGGAAGGAATTGGAGACTGACTTTGGACTTGAGGAGAGGGACCAGACGGAGAAAGGAGTGGTGTCGGTTTAGTTGACATTGCCAACCAAGCTACCAGGGTGACCGGTTGGACTAAGTTGCAACAGTCGCGCGAATTTCGCAGTATAACGGAGTAACAAGCTTCGTGAGCTTCACAACGGCGCTGAGCAACGTTCAATTGACTCAGGCCTGAGCAAATTCATTTCTTCATGAGGACATGGAAGTTGAATCTGTTCCACGGTAACTATTACCCCAAACGTAACACAAAGATCTCGCAGTTCGTACGCGGAAAAGCTTCCAATAACTTAGCTTCGGCGCATGGAGCACTCCGACGGGTCAATACAGGCGAACAATGATATGAGTCGTGTCAATCTAGGCTAGAATCAGCTTCAGCAAGACATTACTGTCTGCAACGTGCGCTAGTTGTTCTGATACAGAGGTGTATGCGTACACTGCATACGGGTTGAATAGCACGATAGAGTAAACTACACAGAATAGGGAACAAAACAAAAGTAACGTGCGCTACGGGCTGCTCCGTGTTCGTAAACACGACTAATGTATTGGCTCACCAACCTTGACCCGCCGCCAGATCTAGAAACCAGATTATGCTTATTTTCGCTTTGGTCTGTTTCTCTTCCCTGTCTATCTGCCCGGCGCAGTACTGTGCAACTAAGCCGTTGACAGCACCGGCATCCCTTATTCAGCCAAGGCCTTGGACATCCTCTTGTTTGGGGTTTATTTCCGCGATATGGCCATGGTCCCATTACCCAGAGTTCTGAGTCAGGTCGTCTAAAGTTGCTGTCACAGAGTGGGTATTCTAAGGTGCATCAGGTTGCGTTGGGCTGTTGAACGAAGTACGCGATTGCGCCTTCACGGAGAACTGTGGGAGTCCGACGGAAACGCATTTACCTTTTCCGGTTGTAGGGTTGAATGTTGTCATTGATGCACAATTGAGGCTGAAGGCGTGGAGATCGGCTGCACATACTCGTCGGCAGGCGGTGCCATCATCAGCGAACTAAAGACAAAGGCAAAAGCGCACGCCCCTTGCTTGGCAACTTCATTGCTCTGCGTCACAGCAAGGATCGGGCAAACATTACCCTACTCAAAACTCAAACGCAGCGGGGGGTCCTTATACGTTTCGAAGAGCAATTCGCCCCGTGGTGCGGCCCGGCAAATGGGGCCTAAACTCAAAATCAGTTGTTCGTCGCACCTCCCCCCAGTCATCTCTTCCCCGTCTTTTCTGTCTCTCTGTTAACATTCTGGGTTGGCCGTCCGGACGCCCTATCCTCATGCCGTCCTATGCTGCCTCGCCAGCAAATCGCCCAATGATAATTGACTTTCACGACCTGGAAACTTTGAGGGTAACATGAGATTCATGCACACGTGGAGTTTCCACGCCGACGTGAACGTCCAGAACCCTGTCCTCTGAGCCGAAAGTCGACCGGATCTCATGAACACCTGTGACCTACCGGCGTACAGGGAAAGCTGCCGATACGAGTTGCTCCTTCTCGGCACTTGACTACATCTCCGGAAATTGGCCGATCGCGATCGGTCTTCGCACTTCATCTTTGAGTGCGCGCGCCTTCAACGTCTTCCAAGGCTGCAGAGGAGCGAGAAGAGGATGGCCATGGATGGATACAGGATACGAAAGCCGACCGGACCTCGCGATCGCAAAGCGGCCGCGGCTGCTCGACAATGCCCATCTTGCCGCCAGCTATGGGCAATGGTCAGTCATATTCTGACTCGTTGTTACACGAAGAATACTTACCAGACTTATAGTGCGAGTGTCGACGGATCCGTCAACGGAAGAGATCGTTGTCGTCTTCCACCTCAGCGTCGCCAATGAGCCATTCATCTCCAGTTACTGTTGGCTCAAAAATTACAACACCTGGAGATCTCAATACCACGCCGGGTGCATTGGAACCTTTGCCGCATGAAATCACGACTGCTTTCTTCGCGTTCGTCGGAGATTCGCCATCGCCCCTCACGGATGTATTTTCACTCTCATTTCTGAGAACATACCTGGAAACATCCATGCCCGTGAGGGCTATTGTCACGACCATCGGCAAAATTCTTCTCGAGTTTCAAAAAGGGGGAGACGTGAATAAAAAGCAGGCGGCTGCAGCTGCGGTGGCTGCCTCAGACCGTCACAAGCTGAATAATTTCTTGGATATCCTCACATCGCCAGAGTGCCATGATCAACATCTGACGCTGGTATTTGGCATTCTCCTCGCTTACATGGAGGCAAGTCAAGAGATCCCGGCGATAGGATGTGGAAAATTGGTTTAACTAACAACTCCAGGCCATGGTAGCCCGTTCATGGCTCCTGTTCCAAGCAGTATTACGCAAGTTATCAGATAAAATACAGGATCAACTAAAGAAAGAACGACGAGGCCCTCATCTTTATTTCGATAGGGGCCTTCTCATCAACTATTCTCTTATGGCTGGCTACCACGCTATGATCTCATTTGAAGACACATATCTCGTCGATGTTGACCTCTACGATCCTTCGCCATTCGCAGACATTGACTCAGCTACCAGCAACATCCGCGCAAATGCCGCGATCCTCCATCATTACTGCAAATACGTCGTGAACTTTGCTCGACTGCACCACAGGTAAGTCTCACTATCATAAACAACATATCCGTGTATTGGAGGGTTGTTAAGCCTGGAAAAATTGAATACAGAGCCACAAAATGGGTGAGACAAGCGCGTCAGATCATTGCAGACCGTCAAACCGAATCCGAAGCAACGGAGGACGAGCTCAAGGAGGCTCTGGCAAGCTATGGGTTGCTAAAATCCGGAAAGGAGGTTGTCGAAAGCTCTGGTAGAGTGATCGACGTGATGGAGATGTTTCGCGGCAGAGACGATGCAAGCGACGACGTGGAAGGGAACGATTTCGGTTGCATGAGAGAGGTCTTCTACCATTTCGCCCTCATGGGACTCACCCGAACCTTCTGGGACCCAACATGGAAACTCATCGACGAGGACCTCCCGCATATGCACGACATGCCTGATCTTGAAGCACATGGTGTCTTTGTTCTCGAAAGGCTAGAGCAAAGAGTTCCTATGCTAGGTCTTGAGTCATGGTGCTACTTGGTAATTTTGATGGGTGTTGCAATGGAGGTTAGGCAGGTGGAATATCAGAAGAGGGTGGAAGTTGTGGTCTCAGACATCGCAGGAAAGGGGTTTGCCTGCGCCGAGTCGATGTTGGGTGACATGAGGCTGCTTTGGGGGATGGATTATGCGGCCCAACACGACAGCAGCATCGGTCCGACCTGCTAATACGGAGAACTAAAGTATCGGCCGAGGAAACATTGAGGAATCTTGCATGATTTCATGTCCCCGAAGAAAAATATGAAATAATATGAGAAGCCGTCGCAAGGTCCTAGAACCAACGTGCATAGGTTTGTAAAAAAAAAAAAAAAAAAAGTGATGTTGCGGGGCCCTGTGCTTGGTACCATGCTATTGCGCTTATCCCCGTTGCGACACTGCACCCTTGACTTCGTTTCTGATATGGATATCTGTGTTAGATGTTAGATCTACAGCCTGGGTAAATCTTCTCCCCTAGAACCAGCCGTTTTCCAATTTCAATGAGTGTTGAAAACCACTAATTCATTATATACAAGCCAATGACAGCACAAGCTGCTCGTTAGCTCGAATGACGTCATGTCCAAACACGTAGGTGCTTCCCCGCAGTAGAGGTCGCACAGCAGACGCACCGATCTACCACTACCACCTCTTGACGCCTCGCGAAATATTCCGATTACAGGAACTACAAGATCACCTATCGGTTTTCACAGATCTACAGTCGACACTATGGCGCCGCCAATTTGTACTAAGACGTTTAAGCTCAATAATGGTGTGCTGCTTCTTACCAGGGAAAGGTTGCCGGACTGACAGGGCAAATCCTAGGACTCGAATTCCCTGCCGTTGGATTGGGAACTTGGCAAGGTAAGTATAAAAGCCTTGGCTTGTTTAAGCACAATATATTGACATGCTACAGGCAGTCAAGGAACGGATGACGCCAAGGCCCTAGAAGAGTCCATCATCCACGCCCTCAAGGTCGGCTACCGCCTTATCGATACTGCCCAGCTTTATGGTGTCGAGGAGGTCGTCGGCAAGGCCATTCGCAACAGTGGGGTTCCTAGGTCTGAGATCATTGTGGTGACCAAGTTCTGGGGAGAGTGGCACCACGACCCGGCGGCAGCTTTGCAGATCTCTCTCGATGCTCTCGGCCTCGACTACATCGATGTGATCCTGATGCACTGGCCGTGGGCCACCACACCCGCCCCTGAGAAGAAGGTTCTCAAGAAGTGGGAGAGCCCTACCTTTATCGAGACCTGGAAGTTGATGGAGCCTCTGGTTGGGGAGAAGTGTAGGTCCATTGGCGTTAGCAACTTCATGCCGAAGGTCATGGATGAGCTCCTGGCTGAGGCCAAGATTGTTCCTGCCATAAACCAAGTGGAGATGCACGCATTCAACCCTAACCTGAAGCTGGTGCCTTACTGTCAAGAGAAGGGCATCCATGTGATGGGCTGGAGGTGAGACCGCCAGCTCCTTTGGCACCAGAGATTACTAACTTTATCAGTACCCTGGGCGGATCGCGGTCCGCGCAGAATGAAATCCTCACTCACGAACTCTTCACCAGCATCGCAAAGGCGCATGACTGTTCCACCGGCGTTGTATCGCTGTCCTGGGCTGTCCAACGTGGAACTAGCATTATCCCGAAGAGCGCGAACAAATCGCGCATTGAGGAGAACATCCGCTTGGTCACGCTCACCGATGAGGAGATGAACAAGATCAACGACGCCCACAAGACGATCAGGAAGGAAAGATTCTCTAACAACATCGAGTCCCAGCACATGGTCATCGATGGCGTTATGACTCAGCAGGGCTGGACTTACGTTGACATGGGATACGAGGACGAGAATGGAAACTGGTTGGTCTAAATCATCATCTAACTAGGTGCTAGAGGGGATAGACAAAAGGCTGGGAAATCGAGTAAAATACCGATTCAAAGTGGCGTCCAAAACCCTTTCCAGTTTACCAAGCCAAAACGTCCTGTGGGGCCTTAACCTTAGGTTCCTTGAGAACACTGCCATTCTTGGAGCTTCGCCCAGTCAAGACGTCGTAGATTCGCTGTCCAAATTGGTTGAATGCATTTGTCATACCGCCCATCTTGGTAAGCTTCTTCTCAAGCTCAGAAAGCTGGAAATCGAAAGACATCCCATCAACTGTCACAACATTGCGGTCCAGATCAATCTCGATGTTCGCTCCCATGTTTGCCTTCTCGTAAAATTGAGCATCATTGATGATGAACCCCCATAGTCCCAAAGATGGCTGATTCCTGCTGTAGATGAAGGCAAAACTCTGGGCTATAACACACTTCACCCCAGCACCTGTTGTCAAATGTTCAGCATGGTCCTTACTACTTCAGGCCGAGAAGCGCGTTGCATCCAGCCAAAGAAAGACAAACCTAGCAGTGATTGAACAGACTCCTGGCGGCTGGATCCGCACCCAAACGCCTTGCCGGCGACGACCACCTCGTGACCTTCTTTGACCTTCTGTCGGAACTCTGGAGTGGTGTGCTCAAGACAGTGGCTTCCTAACTGTTCGTTATTCTTTGATGTAAGGAGATATTGGGCCGGGGCAAGCTGATAAGCGGCAGTCAGCAACGTCAGTGTCTAATATCTGTCTTAAAAGCAGGGTCAGAGACGTACCGCATCAGTGTCAACAAAGTCTCCCAGTCGAAAGACTTTGCTCTTGATAGTGCCAGATCTTGTTGTCCCATTGTCTCCCACTCCGACGTCAGTCGGTTTGAATTCCTGCTCATCTTCGTCGCCCTCTTGTTTCTCGGCGTCTTGTCCAGGTGGCTCGACCCAGAGCGGTTGGGTGAGAGGTCCCTCGGGAAGTGAGCCTTTGCCTTTGATGCTGTTCCATCGCTCATCTGGCACAAGATCGATGAGCTCCTGCGGCGATGTCACGACCATGTTAAAGGACGACGCAGCGACCGTCGCGGCGGAAGCCAAACTACCAATAACCCCTATTACAGACCATCAGTTCTAGTGAATATCAAAAAGACACATCCGTATTTCAAAACCACTTACCCTTCCCCATTCGATTTTCAAAGTTGCGGTTTTGGCTGCTCAACCAGACCTCACCTGGCTGGGCCATATCCGCACCCATACCCACGCAATAGCTGCATCCTGGAACACCGATGGTGAAGCCAGCACGTTCATAGATCTCTGCGAGCCCAGACTTTCGCAAGTAGTCCGCGATAGGACGGCTGCCCGGCACCACTCGGCGGTTTCCTCCCGCAACGGGCTGCTTTCCTGCCTCGAGACCAGCTTGCAGGACCAATGCTCCCGTTATGAGATCTTCCTCCGCCGTTGTGCATGCGCCGATGAATACGCCATCGAGATTTGTGCCTGCAACCTCTGACACGGGCACAACGTCATCGGGACTAGGATATCGAGCCACGAATGGTTGCGCCAGAGATATGTCAATGATGTGAGACTCAGCGTATGAACAACCTTCGTCCGGCTTGAAGTAGTAAGAAGCGGTCTTGTGATGAGCCGTCTTTCGGGAATCGATGAACTGCTTGGTCACTTCATCCGCATGGAAGATGCCTGTGATACCACCAAATTCGGTTGTCATGTTGGCAACAGCGAAGCGTGCGTCGGGGCTCAGCCATCGACATCCTGGCCCAGTGTACTCTACAACTCTGTCCGCTGCAACGGTGTTGCGCTTGAGTTGTTGCAGGATATATAGGATAATGTCCTTCCCGCCTACACCTCGTCGTGGTTTGCCGATCAGGCGAATCTCAACAACCTCTGGAACCTTGAACCAGATCTCGCCAGTGACGAGCGCCATCGTGACTTCGGTGGCGCCTAGGCCAATAGCAAGACATCCATCAGCGCCCGCACTACAGGTATGAGAATCAGAACCGATGATTATCTGTCCAGGCTGTGCACGCTCGCGGTAAAACTCTGTATGCATGATGGTGTAGTTGTGGCCTTGGAACTCGGTCATTTTGAATCTCTTTCTTGCAAAGTCCATCTGGCCAACAAGCTTCTGAACAAGCGGTGTGTCCATAATCCTGGGATCAACAACATGATCGCCTGCAAGCCAAAACCTGGAGTTCGAGAAAATACCAGGATCTCCAAGCTTGTTGTACGCTTGAAGCATGCCCTGTGATACGTTATCGGGGTTGCTCTCCACAAAACTAAGCGCCCAAACTCACGTGCCAAGTTGCTTCACTGGCCATGACCCAGTCAACGGAAATCCTGATAGTGTCCCCAGTGCGTACCCATCCTGGAAGATTTACATCGTGCAAGGCGAATATTTTCTCCGTGACGTTCATAGGACGGCGGCCAGCGGGCCTATTGACCAAGGGCACGATTGGTCCGCCGCACCTTTCGGCTGAGTTGAGAGACTCAAGCCCTACAGATTCGATTCTCAGTACGACCCGAACAGCGGGCACGTTCTTGGCACTATATAAGAAAGAACGAGGGAGTGAGAGTTCTTACATGCGGATGCCAAAAGTACGACCTCATCTATGTCTTTTTCTGATAAGTTCATGTCCGTTGAAAGTCCCATGCCTCCGTAGTCAGGAGATCCAGTGGCGATAGTGAGAACCTCTTGGATTGCGCCTGCTTCTTTAGGATTTCCATCTTCAAGCAGCTTCTTTGAGAGCGACGATAGAGTTGAGAGAGCATTGATACCCTGGTCTACTTATAGTCAGTACAAGAAACTTGGTCTTTCCACCGTCGATTCCGCAATGGTTCGCCAGGAAGCACGGGATTTCGGACCTGCTGGAGCCCAGCCAGCATTGATGCCAGCATTTCTGGTTGCTTTCAGTATTTCTAGGACCCGCGTTTGGAAGCTATTCGCGGCCATCGTGGAGTAGGATGCTTCGTGGTGGTCACTGGCAAAGTCTAAGGTAGATCGACGAAAATCGTGAGGGTTCAACTTAGAAACTGCTCACTACCACAGCGTTCTTCACATCTGCTCCGGGGAAATGCTCTCTGGGGTGGCCAGCCGGTGCTTTTTCAGTGTGGTTGGGGTCATATGTTAAAGTTTAAACTTGCTGGGCTGGACCAATGCTTCGGCCCGTATTACAACACATGCATCCGGGATGCCTGGGGTGCGCAAGTCAGGGCGAAAACGACGCAGTCTCATCCGTGCGTTCCACGCATTTCACGTGGGGTTCCGACCATAGTAAGTATTACTTTCTCATTGTTCAATCTCGAAGCTCGGTGAGCCCTCAGTTGAAGGATCTAGTCGGCTGTTACTGTTTGCGCGGATCATATTTCTTCCTCTCGACACATGGAAATAACTACACTGCTATCTATCATGAGAAGCACTAGATATCCTCATGCATGCCCCTTTTGATTCAAATACGATCTCGCTACTGTCTCATAGGTGACGAACTCAACTTGCGTTCCATGACCTTTCATCCACAGCACCATGCTCTCAATAGTTCCAATAATGTGTGCCATTCCAGATGTATCAGGATGCAAGATTAACGGAAACACGAAATCCGCAGGACCTTCGCCGTCCGGTCCATGATTCCAAAGCCAAGTGAATCTGTCTTGCCACATCCTTTCAATCGACTGAGACGGCACGTATCCATGCGAGTTTTCCACGTTCGGTAGATACTGCAAGGGTGTCATATCCTCCATGTACCAGTTGGCGGGGATCTCGACGACTTTGGAAGGCTCTGGCAAAGCACACGGTCGCATCCAAGTCTGTGCAGGCTTTGAATAGTCTACCGGTACTGGAGACGGCCCTTTTGTGAGTTGATATAGCTGAGAATCGTGACCGCTTAGTGAAGAGTCATATAAGAAGCCTTCACTCTCCAGCAACTCAATCGTTTCTTCTCGCAGTCGATAGAGGGGCGCTCGGTATCCAACAGGCTTCTTTCCAGTGAGAGATTGAGCAAGTTTGATGCACTTCTCGAAGATGTCCTTCTCTTGTTGTGTGCTTAGTCTCGTACAGTCTTCGTGACAATAGCCGTGTAACGCGACCTCTGCTCCAGAATCAATGATCAACTGGGTTTCCACGGGAAATGTCTCCATTGAATGACCCGGAATGAACCAAGTTATCTTGTCCGCAACATCCAATCGTTTGAACAGACGGATCAGACGGCTCACTCCAACATGGCCTGCGAAGAAACCTGAGGAATAGTCTGCCAAGCAGTTACGTGGGTGCTGTCCTGTGCCTAACCATCCGGAGACTGCATCAAAGTCGACCGATAGTAGTATTCGAACTTGTCGAGATGGCGCACTTATTGCTTGAGGAATCTGAGCAACAACTGAAGTCGTTTTCAATCTTCGTATGAGACCTTCAAAAGATGCGATTGCTTCAGGACTATCTCCGTTTGGAGCAACCCGAACGGGGACTCCTCCTACTTCGACGACTAGATTCCCTAGGTTAGACATGGAAGCTGCAAGCATCTTCTTGTACATGGATCATTGTCTACTTACGCTGCTCCATAAGATATTTTTCTTCAGTACAAAAGCTAACTGTAAGATGGCGAGACGCGAAGCCTTCTAAAGCTGACTTGGATGGAGATATACTTTACAGATCAGCCTAAAGGGCTCATCGTGAACAGAGATACTGAGGAGTGAGGGGTAGTTGGAGCTGCTAATGAGGGGTGAGATGTCGATAAGAAGAAACTTCGGGTGCACAGGTTCAGTCGGTCGCCATCTTTCTGCATATGCAGCTAGAAGATAGCCGAGGCCGGCCACTGCTGTGGTGTTCATTGGCGGTCAGAGCGGGTTCTGCGACAGAACAAACGCAGGCTCCAGACCGATCCGGTGTGAACAAGAGGGGTCGGCACTACCCCAGTCCACCATTACTTGATCAATCAGGTCTCCGCCGGATGTTCGTGAGCATCGTCACCCAATAGCAACGCTGATCAGAGCCAACGATAGGAGCTGGAGGATTCCACTTTTCTACTGCAAGTGCCATGGATTCGGAATTCTCGGTCGAGAAGGCCAGGGAGCAATTCCCGTCTTTGCAGAAGGACCAGATCTTTGGCGATAACGCTGGTGGCAGTCAAGTGCTAGGCAGTGTTGCCCACAGGTAAGTGATGCCTCTGACGACGACGTGCTATCGTGTAAGAGCTTACCATGATCAGTATCTCAGAGTATCTCATAACCAACAACGTCCAGCTTGGAGCAACTTACAGCACATCGCGCACATCAACCGCCAAGTTTGATGAGGCCTATCGGATCGCATCTCAGTACATCAATGCTGGCATTGACGAAATTGGTGAGGCCGACGCTGTCATCCAAGAAAATTGAAAACTAACAGGTTTTCTCAACTTCGAGTGATTGGAGCATCCACCACTCAGGTCTTGCGGAATCTCGCCGCTTCCATTAAGCTCGAAGCTGGCGATGAGCTTATTCTCTCCGAGATTGACCATGAGTCGAACATTGATCCATGGCTGCACTACGCCCAAATCGCTGGCGCGAACATCAAGTGGTGGTCGCCAGCTGATCGATCGAACCCGAAGCTTGATGCCAAGACCCTTCAAAGTCTATTGACTACCAAGACACGCCTTGTGGCCTGTACACATGCTAGCAATATTCTTGGTAGCATTCATGACATCAAGGCCATTGCCGATACGATACACGAGATTCCCGATGCCCTTCTTTGCGTGGACGGCGTTGCCTACGCTCCACACCGGGCGATTGACGTAAAAGAGCTTGGCGCAGACTTTTATGCCTTTTCTTGGTACAAGGTGAGCTCCCCGAGTCTATGAGATTATTGATAAAGAATGAAAGCATCTGGCATCAGTATCACATGAATTGACACGTGGAAATCAGGTCTATGGACCTCATATCTCCCTTTTATACGGTTCACGCAAGTCCCAGGAACAATTAAAACCGCTAGGACATTATTTCAATCCATCTGCAAGTTTGATGGATAAACTGGAGCTCGCCGGTGCCAGCTATGAGCTGACACAATCTATCATACCCCTTGTCGCTTATTTGGGGAAGAACCCCAAAAAGACATGGGATGAGATCACCCAGCACGAAGAAAAGCTTCAGAAGCGCCTTATTGAGTACCTCGACTCAAGACCAGACATTTCCATCCGTGGAGAAACTTCATCCGAGGCCGCAGTTCGACTACCGACTGTGAGTTTCACGGTGAGGGGAAGATCCTCACAGAGCGTGGTAGAGGCTGTTGAAACACAGTCGAATATCGGAATTCGCTGGGGTCACTTCTTCTCCAAGAGACTGGCTGAAAGGACTCTCGGTCTCGACGATGATGGCGTAGTGCGGGTCAGCCTAGTGCACTACAACACCGGTGAGTAACATCGTGATTCCTGCCTTTTGCAGACATGCTTCCCAGAGAGCTTACACCAAGGCGTGTTAGTGGACGAGGTTGAGGCAATTGTCAGGGTTCTGGATAAGGTTTTGGGTCCAATTTAACGAAGTCGGAGAATGATGGGGCTGCGGATTACGGGGTCAGAATGAGGGGCAGGAGTGCCGACCACCGGCGCATTCTCACCTATGCGGAGACTTTCGGGGGAGTCAGATTAGGTCCTATCTAAGACCCCACCCCAACTTCCAAAACACCCCTACTTATGAAACAGCATTTTTGATACATTACGACCCTCACTATAATAATTATACTTTTTTATATTACTAAATATCTTAATTAATCTATTATAAAAATATACAATTTCACACTCTCTTTATTATCTAACGATTTGTCACGGGCTAGAGCCCGGCCGAGATCTCCGGCTTTGCCGGGGCAGTTACCGAGATCCGGCGGAGCCGGATCCACTATTCTACCGTGGCACACCGCCTAGCCCGACCACGTATCTCCGTAGCTAGGCGCTCACTCTTGTAAAGTCCTTCTCCTCTTCAGCCGACGGCACCTCTACGTTGAACAAGCCTAGGGGCCAGCCCCTTACACGATTTACTTTCAAATAATACTAATTTTACTTATTTTAATTTATTCTAAACCTCCTATTTCTTTTTAATTGTCTATTTACTTACTTTAAAGTATTTACTTATATTTAGCTTAACTTTTATATATATTTTTAGCTATAAAACGTTAACTTATACTCTAAGAGAGTCAATAATCTATTAATTATTAGTATTAGATATATTATTAAAGTTTAAATACTTACTTACTTTCTTAATAAATAGTATATATATTACTAAATTAATATTTTTTAGCTTTAACTATAAACTATTATAAAATAACTATTTAAATTACAATAAATTAATAGAAGATTTAGGTGTTTTAACTATAATACTTTCTAAAGTTATAATAATATTCTAATTATTTATAGATATTTATTTCTATAAAAAAGCTTTCTAAATATCTATAAAAATAGAAATAAAAATAAACTTATTTATTAATGGTTTTATAATATTAATAAACTATAATTTTACTGCTAATTATCTTATTTTAATAATATACTCCTATAAAGTTTCTAATTTTATATATAAATAGTATTAAAAAGTTCTACTTATTAATTAATATTAAATTTAGCTTAAAGTTATAATTTACTAATTAATACTTATATAATACTTTTAGAAGTAAAAAGACTAATAACTACATTAAGTAGCTAAATAATATATAATAAATATATAAATAGATATACTAAGTAAATATTATATATATAGTATTACTATATAATATTATTAGAAATATAGCTGTTATAGCTATTAATAATTAATAAATACTTAGATTATAGCTTTTTTAACCCTATAGTAATTTTAGTATAAATATTTTATTTAACTACTTAAGATTAATAATATTTAATATCTAACTATTTATTAATAATATAAACTACTATTTTTTAAACTTTTATAGATTATTAGAGAATTATTACTACTAAATAGTTTTCTCTTTAAACAAAGTAAAGAAAAATAAGTATATATTAATAATAGAAATATACTTAATAACTATTATCTAAGTATAATTTTTACTACTTTATGTTAACATATAACATTCTTTTATAATAATAATAATAATATAAGAATAATAATCACGCTTAACTTACTTTAATATTCTACATAAAATAAACTAATAACATTTAAGGTATAAAACCTTAAATAAAAAGGCAATTGATAGGGACGCATGACGAATTGATACGGACGCATGATCCTCTCGGACGCATGAGAATTTGGTTCTCTCATTGGTCCAAAAAATAAATGTTAGTGCATTCCGATTCTGCCAGCTCCCAGACAAGTACCTAG